GCCATATTAATGTTACCGGTGAAGAGATTACTTTGAGATAGATATTTTTCAATAATATTTTTGTAGATAATGCGCGAAATTCATTATCAATTATTAGATTAAACATAATTATGGGAAGTTTGTCAGAGCTCAGCGTAAGTTATTAAAATAATTATAGCAGTTATAACCATACGTACAAAAAATATATATTTTTTCTTTATTTTATTATTAATGTTAACGTACATCAATTATGACGTAGACGTTGCGAAAGTTTTATTTGTCATCTATTTATTCTGGCATCTTTTTCTCTCTTATAATACTTAAAATAATTTTAATTTTAATTAAACGTACTTCTAATACTCTACATTTAAGTATCTCTGATAACATTAATAATAAACTTTATAAAATTTTAAAACTTTTTTAGGTGCTTTCTTCTTTTCACTTTAAATAATTATATATACTTCGAGATAAGTAATTATATATATATATATATAGAAGACACGAGAATTATAAACCCTTCTTTAATATATTAGTAGTAACCTTAAAAGTATGCAACCTTAAAAAATCAGTACTTTACATATAAATATGGATTATTTATAATACAATTTTATAAAAATTACATTTTTTAATTATTTCTTAACATACGCATAAATTAAAATATTCTTAAGATAAATTAAATAAATTAACTCAGATTAAAACATTTTTGAGCCAGAAAATTTCGCTTGAAATAAAATATAGATTAAACTTCTATTATTTATTCAAGTTTTTCTAAAGTATATAAGTATATAAATTAAGAAAATCTTATAATTTTTAATTACTAAAGTTAAATATTGCCTTCATAATTTAAGAAAATATCAAATATAAAGTATTTATCAAGTGATTCTGTTGAGATGCAATTATTTAAAATTAAAATATTGTGCGCAATCGAGTAAGTAAATCTTTCTTGATTCTGCTAGGGTTGAAACTCGTTTAATCAGGATTCTATCCGCTCGAATATGTATGAAATGCGCGTCGTGGCTTTATCCTTCGAGACGAGACAAGATCCTTACGTCGCAAAGAGATCGATTAATGCACGTCACGTGTGCACGGGACGGCTAGTAATTATTACCGACTAACGTGGGTGTTGTGCATCATTGCACGTTAATCGATGATCACACGCCGCGTTAAACGACATACGCTATAATTAGCAGCTTAGGTGGTCACTGATCTTTCGTATGGGAATTTAGAATTATATTTTCTTATCGCGTCTAATTATTTTTGAAATTCATTCGACAGTATCGTGCTTTCAAATTTTTAATTAAAGCAAAAATATTGATGACATGTATAGAAAAACATATATTTTTTTTATTATAATTGCTTTACTAATTTCTTTTGGTCTCGACATATTGTTCAACTGAATATATAACAATACGATAATTTATACTATATATATGTATATAGGATAGACCATCTTAAATGATGTATTGATATTTTTTGAAAAACATCCATCGAAAAATGTTCCGTACAAAAGTTTTGTGATTTTGAGGGGGGCATAAGAGTATCACAAAACATTTTTTGATGAAAGCCTTGGTTTTTAAGAAATATCAATGCGTCCTTTAAAATGCCACCCTGTATATTTGACGGCTGGATCCGTTAAATACAGATGAATCGTGCCTGCTATCGAACAGATATGAAATTAATATCATAGTACATTTAATTTGAATAGGGTTGCCCGTCAGTTTGTCGGAAACACCAGAAGAGAGGGAGGTTATTAATTAAATTTTGGATCACTGTGTACCTCTATATCTGCCCTGTAATTTGCATCAGCTTGCTTTAATAGAAATTTAGTTCGATCGTTGATATACATATAGTCAAAATATTTAGTGTTAGACATTAAAAAATTTTTAGTTACATTATTAATGTATATTTATATATTATTACATAATAAATTTTTATCATAAACTTCTGTAAGAAAAAATAATTCTACAACCAATGTACACGATTTTATAATATATTATATATTCACATATTTCATTATCAATATGTTGTAAACACATTCAATTTAATTACTCTCTATCGCTCTTCGATCAAAATTTCTAATTTCACAGATATTATATATTGTATGTAATTTATGTGATATTGTATATATATTTACAGTATGTACAACAAGCATAATTAAATACCAATATCGCATTGTTATGAATAATTACCTGTTGATAATTACCTTTGTCTAAACTGCTCTCAAAATAAATTGATTACGTTTTTATCTAATGGTTTTCTTTATAATTAAATTAAATTATAATTTTTTTGTATTAAAACTCTTTTAATTCTTCTTTGTTTGCAATTTTGTGGAAGAATCTCGTTAGTGGATTCTCACATTGAGAAATTTAAAAACCGTCTTTGCGATAAATAACCTGAGACGCAATCAAAACAAAATTAAAGTACGAGATAGCTTGTAGAAAAAGAAATATTGTAATGCTTTATTTTGCCTTATTACCGATAACGTCCGGAAGTTATAAATCTTTTCGAGTAGTAATTTCGAACGTTATTTGAAACAGGAAAGATGCTTTGGAAAAAAGCATCGCTTTCGATTCACCGAATGAAATATAAATACGAAATATCACTATATAGATAGAGTACATATTGAGAAATATGAAGAAATACTCGATTAAAAAAATCTGTTTAAAATATAAAAGTATAAAACATATTTGATATAATTCGGTTTTTTTTATATATTTTTATTTATAATAAAAAATATTAAGGTGTAATTATATTAATAAAAATTTTAATTATTGAGGTTTAAATATAAATAATAAAATATTTACAATATTTATAATAATTTATATAAACGTTTTTGATTTGTAAATGCAGATTGATTAAATTTATAATAATTTATATTGTATGTAAAGAGAGAAAGAGAAGTAATATGTGTTACGTATATATATCGTTATAATACAAAAATTTATAAAAAATATTTACATTAAGTTTGCTAAACTTAATTTTCACGAAAATAACGCAGCTGCGTTTTCGTGATAATTATAATTGTTTTGAAATTCACCTGCGCGATAAATTATTTGGTCCACGTCTGGCGAAGAGAAACAACAATTAACGATGACGTGTTAATTACGGAGGACGGTTATGTCGCGATAAAATTCAACGTGTATTTACACCGTATTTTTTACTTACGTGTCTCTTTGAGAGATAAAACGCGTGGGTCGAAATAGAAAGAAAGATGGAATTTTTTTATTACATCCCTGGTTATTTCTTATCCGATTTGCAGCAATTGCTTTCCACGACAATTTAGTCGAGCGTGTAAATTCCATGTCGAGAATTCAGCACCATCGCACGCTGTAGGAAAATAACAATCGATATTCGATATACTTGTTGCGCTTCGAGGGTTAGTCGATGGAAAATATGAGATGTTCGCTCATGCATTTTTATGAGAGGCCTTTGTAATAATGTCGGAAAATAAATATTATTTTTGTTTATACAGCGAAATATTTGATCGACGGCACATTAAAATTTCCAAGCATGCATTAACATTAACATTATACTGTACATTATACCGTAACATTAAAATTATACTGTAAAATATTTTTTATATTATAAAACATTTTTATTCTATAAAATTATGCACGCACGTAAACATGCTCTTAGAAAATAACATGTTATTCAAAATTGTGTTTCATTAAAAATAGAATTTTTTAATTATTATGGTTTTCCCATCATTACAATATTATTACACGAGAGAAAAATTGGTATTTATTTTGTGTCTTTTTTCTCTTATTTTTTTAAAATGCATTTTAATTAAGTAATTTAATTAATTATATTATATATACGCGTTTTATTGGCAAATCTTTTGTAAATATTTGATGTCACAGTATATTATGGAATCTATCTCTCGTCGCGTTTTCATACTTAACGCGTTTTTAAAGCTTTCCATCTTCTTGCTGATGGAAAAGAAGTGCGAAGAGATGGACGGATAGAACTTTTCTTATTTCCAACGTGTCAGCTATGTCGCAAGAGGGTAATTGATAATTCTTCGAGGCTTAGGTTGGAATTATCTCGGCGGAAAGAGTTCGCTTAGGGATTATAAAAATGAAGGCAGAGATTAAGCGGGTTTAAATGGTTTCTCGGTTACCGTTGCTTCGTGCGAATCACCGTCTTCTATATCGTGATGGTGATAATAATAGTCCAATATTAGGGAGCACGGTATTTCACGTCGCGTCGTCGTTTCGTTAAATCTGTCTGCAATTTGGAACAATTACGCGCTTATCAAGCAATGCTGGATATGAGCAATGTCCTGGATACAGATTAAATATCTCATTTCTTGGATAGTTTGGAATGCTGTGTGAGATGCGGTATCAACAAAATATATTGAAGTAGTAGAAAATAGATATTTTTAACGATTATACGATGAGAAAAGGAATTATATGCATAAGTATACATTCAAAATTAATTTTAAATTCCTTTATTTTTAAAAAGCGATTTAATATACTTGTATCCCTTTTCTGATGTTTTTTACAAATTCTATAAATTTAATTATTTTAAAGTTTAATAAATTTAACAAATAAATAATAAGACGGATAGATGAGAGCCAATGCGCTGGGTGAGGGGCGCCAAAAATATGTTATTCCTCGTGTATGTAAATTGAGTTTATTAGACGTTTTGGTTTGAATATTGGACCATCTTTAGTAACTGTGTATAATATAATAAATATAAATAAAATCGGAATATAAAAGAGATTTACATAAAAGAAGTGGACGTACGTACTTTGACAAAATAAGAATAATGTCAGGAGCGAGCCGCACTTGTCAACGGTGACGGTATTAATAATGTGTGAATGTGAATTTTCAAAACACAAAGGTTAACGATCGAGATGTAAACAGACATATATAATATTGCGGAGACCTAAATTTTTTTAAGTTGTCTATTATTGTATCTCCGCAATATTATGTTCGTCTGTTTACATCTTGATCGTTAATCTTTGTGTTTTGAAAATTCACATTCACACATTATTAATACCGTCACCGTTGACAAGTGCGGCTCGCTCCTGACATTATTCTTATTTTGTCAAAGTACGTACGTTCACTTCTTTTATGTAAGTCTCTTTTATATTCCGATTTTATTTATATTTATTATCTTGTACACAGTTACTAAAAATGGTCCGACATTCGGACCGAAACGTTTAATAAACTCAATTTACATACACGAGGAATAACATATTTTTGGCGTCCCTCACCCAGCGCATTAGCTCTCATCTGCCCGTCTTATTATTTATTTGTTAATATTATTTTATATTTAGAGCCTAATATACTAAATTATCTTTTAATAAATTTAATATTCTTTTATATAAAATCTTCTCTTTTATTTCCTCGTGTATACTATATAATATATTTCCTTATGTTTGAAAATAACATTACCAAATTAAAATAGTACTAAACGCAATGTAATTAAATTTTTGTAATTTAACAATTTTAAAATATAGATATAATTATTTTTTATTTATTAATATTTAATTCTGATACATTTTATTCTTTCATGAATTACGTCTCATGAGTAGCGTTTAATTGTTCTGCAGTTTCAGTGACGTGTACTTCCCTTTTCTCATGATATAAAGGAAACCATCTCGACGTCAAGAAAAGTGCGCCTGAGCTTTTTTTAATAGCGAAAAGTCGCAGGCATTTAGCGGAGGTGTTTTGCGCGAACTTTTGTCAAGAATCGTACGTCTTCCTCAACAATGCACAGCCGGTATTCCCGTTTCTTAAAAAATGAATGCTTCCCGCATTTCTCACGAGTAAATGTATCGGTCCGTGTACTTAATATTTCCTCAGTTGTGACCGTCGTTATTTGCCGAATGCAATTACGCGAAAGCCTTCGATGTTTTTTTCTCGCGAGTAAGCATCATAAATTGTTCGACGATAACGATGCTTTATTATGCATTTATGCAGTAATGTTGCTGAATAAATGCAGAATACATCCGAGAACACTAATAGTCTTTTTAAAATATGAATATAGTGCGATCAAAAACCAAAAACCCTTATCCTATCATTTAATTGTTTGTCATTGATTTATTATCCTATGAATATATATTTTTATATAAATAAGTAATTACTGTTATTTTACAATTTTAAAAACAATGATTTTTAACTTTACTAATAGAAAAAATTGCGCAAAAATGCCTTACAATTACCATGATTTCTTCTATTTCTTACATTGAGCTCCAATTTTAGTATCGTACGTGCAATTTATGAGACATGATGAAATAAATGGGCGCCATTTACTATAGCATGCTGCGTTGCACGCTCAATAAGAGCTCATAAAATAACTCATAAATACGATTTTTATTGGCTAAATAACATATTGATTTTATTTTCAACTGTATTATAAAATACGTCTCTTATTTTTGTGAAGCAAGTAAATATATGTATGTTTTTGATATATTTTCATGTCAAATGTATATATATTTCAAATTTTTCTGAAACTGGTATTTGGTACGGTCTCGTTTTATCAATTGATTTTTTTTCTACGTATATGCAAGTATCGTTTTTATTTATTTATTTTTTTTTAGGTTGGATCCGATTACATTTTCAAAACTAGCATTTTGATACGAGTGTAACGCGAGAAATAAAGAAGAATAAAGAGGAACAGATACATATAGATGTACGGTTTAGATATTTCCGAAAATAGGAAATTGGTATATTTGTACAATATTCCCTCGGCGTTCCGATCGTTCAAATGATATCTTTTAATTTTGAATAACATATCATTTGCCGCGTCAGTCACGCAATATTTCGGTGAAATGGATTTGGGAAACCGCATTGTTGGAGAAGGGCACTTGTGTGAGAGTATGTCTGTATACATTTGTACACGCGTTGTTGCGAGGAAGCAACAGGGTGTCGGTAGATCTCTGCCGCATTTGTAACACCTCTGGAAACGTACACCGGGTGCTCGCATAATTTAACATTTGTTCGATTATTTTATTGTTACTCATTGTCAGTTACTTTGGTGAATATTTTATTTGTTAACAAACTTTTGTATAATTTTATACAATTTTGTATAATTTTATCGCCTTTATTCTAAAAATAATTTTTTTTTTTTTAAATGAGAGAATAATGCCTTTAAAGAAGGGTCGAGACGATGATGTCCGCTGACTTAACACATTTAAGAAAGGGGTTTTAAAATTACATCATAAAGCAGATACAAAAGCAAGAGAACGACTCGAAACTTTTTGTCTTTAATATAACTTCTCAGAGATGCACATGAAGGAAGATAGCTGCTTGATATAATTATAATTTATGCAAGTCATAAAAGGTTAAACATACTCTGAGTAGAGGAGAAAATTGTGAATTTAAGTAATAAAAAAAAACGCAGATATATCTTGTGGCATACTGCCGGATTTAGAATTAATTCCCTGTGCTAATGTAATTATTTCTTAATCTTCGTGAATGGTCGAGATTTCATGTGCCACATAAACTTCTTTGGGATCTCGTCTCGAGATCCGAACGTGCAAATACGAGCGCGAATATTAAACCGCGTTCTGTTTAAGCTCTACTTATTTCCCGTGTCTTTAAAGCGAGTCATGATGAAAGTCGCCATGGAGAAAATTGCTGCAATATTGTGCCCGTGAGTAATGTTTAACCGAGATAGAAAAAAACATACTCTTTTACTATCTACATGAGCAAGTTTCACAAACAAATTTTTTCAAATTATCCAAAATACAGCAATTTTAATTCCCGCGCGATTCAACTTTTACCACTCGTCCTTACTCGCGGTATTTGATAGTTATCCGTTTTATTTTATGCCAAAAATCATGTACGGTACATCGTGAACATATATCTGTTACAATTTTTGTAAATCTACCTCTCTCAAAGTTATGAAACAGAAAGTAATGTAGCATTTACCAATACAATGCGCTAAATATTTGATCATTGACGAACTTAAGTTAATTAACATCGCAATGCAAAGTATTACGTGATTATTCGTATTTGCGCTGATCGTAATTAATCGTGTTTTTGCAAGTGAGTGTGAAAAAATGTCATGAAGAAACAATAAAAGATGAATAAGAAAGAAAAAAGAATCGGGGGGAGATTTCAGGCGGCAACGAAACATAAAGTGAGCAATACATTTTTTTTTTATTTGAGATTTTTTTATTTGAGGTGTGTAGTAGATTATTTAAAATCATCGTGTAACATAACACATATAAAATATTTATATTTCGACATATTAAATACGACATATTAAAAATATATTTCAACATTGTGTTTAAAATTTATAATTATTTAAATTATTTATGAATTATAGATTTTTATTTATTATATTTTCAAAAGTTTATATCTAAAAAGAATTTGTATCTTTCCGGTAATTATGCAATTTATTTTATTTAAAATTTAAATAAAAAACAAACTTTTTACGAAGAAAATTTTTGCATATTTTATTTTTACGGCAACGCCCTAATATCTCGCGTCAATTAATGGAGAGAGGATTGCCGAGATTTCGTAGTTATGGCATATTTTCGACAAGATATATCTCAACATTGTGTTTAAAATTTATAATTATTTAAATTATTTATGAATTATAGATTTTTATTTATTATATTTTCAAAAGTTTATATCTAAAAAGAATTTGTATCTTTCCGGTAATTATGCAATTTATTTTATTTAAAATTTAAATAAAAAACAAACTTTTTACGAAGAAAATTTTTGCATATTTTATTTTTACGGCAACGCCCTAATATCTCGCGTCAATTAATGGAGAGAGGATTGCCGAGATTTCGTAGTTATGGCATATTTTCGACAAGCATATTACGTGCGCGCATATACATGTTTACCTTAAGCTTAATGGCCAAGGGAAGAGGGTAGATGGGGAAGGGAAGAGGGTAGACTTCGAAGCTCTTGATACGTGCGACCGCACGCGGAAGCGCAACAGCTCGCTGGTAAATCTTCGTAATTTCCAGCATACGCGCCCTCCGGTCGGTCAGATACCGGGTGGACTCACGAAATTGAGTTCGCTTGCGGTAGATACTTCATTAATCTCCCTGGTCTACCACCTTCCCTCTCTTCTAACGTCCTTTTGTATCGCCCACCATTAGCGAAATGCGAAACCGTATTTTCCTGTCGACGATTTTCGCCTAAAGAAGCGCGTAATTTTCGCAGAGCTGAATTTAGTTTTAACGCTGATAATTTTTTAATGAATAAAATATTAAATTTTCCCTCTTTTGATAAAGCAATTTTCAAATCTTTTACATCATCTTGCTTTTATTTTTATTTTTTTTTAAATTCTTTATCACGGATAATCTCTTTACGAGAGATGGAAAATTGTTGTGATATTACGTATCTCTCTCATTATGAAGATAGTAAAAGAGCTCCATATGCATTCATATTTATTGTTATTGTTGCGCAATAATTTCTTTTTCTTCTTCTTCACTTATATATTATACTCGTAATTGGATTTTGTTATATAAAGAATTAAAGTGGTATTTTTACTACGAAAGAAAAATTGCATCATAGTTTACAATCGTGATAAGCAATATATTTTTATCGTGTCGAAATAATAAATAAAACGCGTTTTATTTAATATTGTATAATACATTGTAATTAACATTTTGTTATATATTTAAAAAATCTTTGATAGTTTATTAATATTATGTTTTTTTCACTATTTTCTAAAAAAAAATTTATTTTTGAAACCGAGAAAAATCAAACTTTTTTCATTGTTTTTTTCTCTCACTTGTAATAAAATATGTATAAATGGAATATCACATTCTGTATGAAAAAGGCGAGTCGTCTGTGGGTTTTCATATCTACAGCTAGAGATAAATTAATTTTTGACTTTTGTTAACACATCTTTAATCTGGGGGTCTTCTAATTTTATTCACACATGTTCGTCGCAAATTCGAGTAACATTTCGAAACGACTTTATTCTAAAATAAGACTATTTCAGAATTTCTGATGTTTTTTAAATAGAAAATGATCGCATGTGGTATATAATTGATATATCATACATAATTTTAGAGATATTTTATTTTATTCCATCAAAGCTTATCAAAGTTTTATACACACGTCAGACGGGCATAGATATATTTATTATATAAAAGTATATGTAAAATATTTATAATTTATGAGAGTTAGCAATAAAATTTAATTACATATTATTTTTAATTATGTTGAAGATTCGCGACTGTGCTTCAATTACTTGGGGTTTCACATTCTCGCGATATTTTAATGAAATTACACTTTAGTAAACTCGTTCTCACGTATAATTTCATCGCGTGTAACCGCTGCTTAGCAACTATGCGCATTTAAATATCTCGGTATTTCAAAATAATATGCAAATTTATCATAGCTCTCAGCTTTAGTAGCAACTTTTTCCCTTTCTCTCTCTCCTTCTCTCTCTCTCTCTCTCTCTCTCTCTCTC